TTAGTCCTGTTTTATTAAAATAAATTCATTTTATCAAAAGTTATGATTATTATTTCGAAATATAGGTACGAATTTGTTTAAAGGTGGCGGTTGAGTCAACAAGTTGAATCTCAGAAACCGTAATTATAAATGATGTAAAATAATGTCTCTTAACGGTATACTTCTAACATAAGTAATAAAAAAAGAATGTTTTATTTATAATCAAGATTATATATCAGAGCTATTTTAGTAATAAGCTGAACGCATATTTGTCCGCGCACCGTACGCGCCGTACGCGCCGAATTTTAGAATTCGTTGCATGAAATCATATGAAACATCGCACGATGCGGATGTAATCATCCGCACCGTACGCGCCGAATTTTATAAAATGCGGTAGGTATAAGATATCGAAGTACGAATGCTGATGACGTCATATAACGCGGCGCATTCGGCGCGTGCTGATACTCAGTGTTGTGTAATATTGTCAACTTAGTGGATTTTCCACTATAACTGGTGGTTTCGACTCACATGATAATTTTTGTATTTTTATAACTTTTAATTCATTCGTAATTAATTATAAATAATTTGAATTTTTTTGCATCGATTATCAATATGTATTCTTAGCGATAAATTATTTAAATACTGAACTAACGAAAAGTTGTTGAATTTAATTCAAAAACCCAATTATACCTGATTACTTAATTATTAATAAAAATACTTACCTCAATCATAAAACAAATCTTTTTTCTGGTTCAATTGGTGTTTTAAATCTTGAGTTTTCCATAGAAAGATATGGTTTTAGTATATGTAGCAATTCTTGAAATTTCTTGTATGTTAAATGCAAATATCTAAAAAAAATCGTTCATCATCATCTAATAAATCTTTAAATAAAGCCCTTCATATTCTCCATACAATTGCCTTTTTAAATTAATATTATGAATCCAGAATCTTCTTTTTCTTCGAATTTTATTTTCTTCTTCCTCTGCCAATAAAAAGGTTATTGCTATATTTCTTTTCATAGTGATTTCGAGCGATCAATTTCACTGTACCGTTTCACACCAGTGGTTGGAAAAAACTAGAAAAGTTGTTGGTAATATAAAAGATTTGCGTACGGCGCGAACGATGCGTACGGACAGATGTGTGAGGCCATCAGTAAAACTCAGCGCGTACGGCGCCTACGATGCGTACGGTGGGGACAAATGTGCGTTCAGCTTTAAATTACTCTTTGTAAGCTTAAAACTGTCTGCACTATTACTGTTTAACTTCGAACAGTTGCGTGGTTTATAAAATTTAATCAATTAAGCCCAAAAAATTGAAACTTTAAAACAAACAAGCTACTAATAAAGGTTCTACGCGAACGATGTTTCGGGCACAGTTGGTTTATGATACTTATGTCTAAACATACATACAAATAAAATTATATAGGTAGTATGTTTGTAATATCTAAATAACTGCCTTTATTGAGTGGAGGGGTTATTTATATGACATTAAGACATGAGTGACCATTTTCAAAAAAATTGCTGTCTGTCCGCCTGTCTGTCTGTCCGTGGTAATCTCCGGAATGGCTGAACCGATTATAATAAACTTCTCGAGTAGATGGAGATCTATGCCAGGAACGATAAGGGCTATATTTCATTTGAAAATCGATTAAATAAATGACGCCACATTAATATATCTAGACGAAGCCAAGGCGGGTCGTTAGTAACAATATATAACATAATATTTTATTAAAACCGATGTAAGCTATGAAGGCAAAACCTTACATAATAAATAATACATTTTTACACTGGATATAGTTCCTAGGACAAGCAATTTATGTAGCTTAAAAGGAATCTCCAAACATAGCAAACTTGTATTTTTAGATTTAAGGTAATGAAATAAAGATTTTTTGATTTTTTTTTTTTGATAATACGGACTAAATCCAGAGTGCAGGTCATAGCACCATCTATGATTTAATGGGCATCATAGATAAGTATTTCAAAAACTACATTAAAATATTGTGATATGGACAGTTCTATTAAGATAAGTAATGGTAAACGTATTAATTTTTAATTCGATAATTTTAAATTGTCCTTCCATCGTAAGAAATGAGTGGCTAGTAGTGAGTGACTTGAATATGCTATGTAATTAGAAACATCTGATAATAATGCCCAGGGGTAGTGATTTGATGTAATTCTTCCAAGTAATAAATGCCCGTTGGCACAATCACGCAAAGGCCCATGTTGTTCAATAACGGATTACAATAGGCTGAACACAGAATAGAGAGGGAGAGGGAGAAATTATTTATTACAGAATTTCTGCGACAGACCGCCGTTTTACTAGGAACATTTCCAGGAAACGTTTGATAGCTAGCGCATTCTAGGAAAAGTCTATTTTCATAGTCTATGTTAAAAAAATATATAATTATAATCTAATTGTTAGCAAATACAGTTGCTATGATATCGTTTATTTTAAACACTACATCGCACGAGTTATTTATATTTTTGAACTACTTTGTATAGCTAATTTGACATCTTTGCCAAAATACTTATTTTGATAACTACGAGTTTTTCAAAACCTCTAAACTACTTAGTTTACTTTGGAGAAAATTTATTTTTGATATAGCATAAAATTTTATAATAAGGAAGAATTATTAGTCTTAAGAACTGTTTATATATCAATAGTAAAATTAAAACAACAATCATACTTTTTACTCCTGGGGACATGGGCACATCTCATTTAATCAAAGACAAGAAAAATCGCTCTTATATACTCAAATGTCGTTGTATTTAATAAATCAATTAATAATAGAATAGTCTGGTTTACATTTTTCAACAACAATTTTCTCATTCTTAAAGTTTACTTAAGAAAACAATTGGTCATTATTTCATCCGATTTTAACAAATACAGCAGAAACTTTTATTTATTATTTGTCTCTATTTATTTTGATTATTTTGTCTATATTTTTCTGTCAGTTATTACGCATACAGCGGAATAGTTTTAGAAAATGTGATGTCAAACTTTTAATAATCTCGCTTCATTGCAGTTGATTACAAAAAACCAATGTTCCGCCACAAAGCATACGCCTGGTAAATTAAATTACAACATTTTATGACTCGTTATCGTAGTAAATGTATTGGCCGATCTGCTACAAAGAGTTCGTAGATTGCCGAAAATGTTGTGTCGAATTATAATAAGAGTTCAATGGTTATAGCTCATAATCCGGTCTGAAATACCAAGTCTCTGCATGATTGTTATCGAATCATAAAGTTATTCGATAACATTTTTAAGATTCTAGAGCATTCAAATTGTATAATGTACTTGTATATTGTTTATCAGTATACTTAAAATGCACTTTATATATTTTTAAGTCGCACTCATCGAAAATAGTTATAGCCTACATATTACCCACAGGCCTCCTTTCATTTCCGAGAGGACTATGGAACAATAGTTTTCACGCTACTTTGGGTGTTTTTGATGGACTTCACGAGTCCTCAAAACGTTTTATTTCTCAGACATGTAGGCTTTCACGTGTAACATGTGTGTAAACCAGCTCTGTAGTTCTTTCCTCAGTAAACATAATGGAATTTAAATTTTGAACAAAGCGAGATAATAATATGTATTTATTTCAAGGCAGTGGACAATGGTGTTTTTATAACAAAGCATCCAAATAACATGCCACAGACATACTATTGTATGAGAACATAGACAATGGAAAAACTAAACATGTTGTCACCATAGTTTAGTGACAGCGTTCCCGCTTTACTGGAACTTTACTATCTGGATCAGGGATCTATATATTATTAGAGAAATTAAAAATTTGTACTAGGAGATATGAAGTAATTTAACACGCCTTAAAGCAGCGGAAAGACTCGTCCCTGCCCCAAAATTGTCTCAGTAATGAGGAAAGACCTGTGTCCAGCTGTGGTATACAGTATTTTACTTCTTTCACAGTTCTGAATGCATTTCAATTTTCAGCGTTTATCTTATAATGCCTGTCACATAAATACTTCCAAGTCAAGAAGATTTTACAGAAACGCTAGCCACACGTTAAGAATTAAATAAGTTTTTCTATTTCTGTACGCGATAGAGCCACGCTGCAGATATATTATGGTTGTAGGACGAATGGGTCGGCTCGTCCGGGGAAGGACACAAAAACCAGCGTAAAATAGCATCTAAATTCTGCTGTGTTTCGCATGAAAATTGTAACAAACCGTAGACCTTTTTTACTGGATACGAGGCATTAGATCTTAGTCCTCAGGGGTGACGACGCATCTACATTTTGATTCTTATTCGAGGAAAATGTGGATGTCATTGGGCCACAGCATCTACATACTATCAATTGGGCTGTGTGCTCGCTAATCACCCTTATTCTGTAAAAAAAAGTCTAGCCTAAACTCCTATCAATATCGCTTTATAAAACAACTTTCAAAAAAACTGCCAAAATTGTTTTCGTATTTTTTTTACATTTAAATAGTTAATTTTTACAAATAAATAAATGAATTCAATATATGAATTGAATTCAAAAGTTATTTTTTTACAATTAAATAAATGAATTCAAAAGACAAACTGTCCTTGAAAGAAAACGGAAAATTATTCAATTGCTATTGTACCACGATAATTACTCGCATCAGTTTACATTGACACTGATTATAATCGCAGAACGATATGGTTGTGTCAACTTTTGACGGCATTGTAGCCATTTGATTATCATCGTACTTTGACAATAGGTGCTGAAAATGTGACGAAGTTACTCATCGATCCAGTTTACCGTCATACCGTGTTCCATTGCGACTACACTTGTATTTGGGTTACAGTTGTAAACGTTATCTTTTACGGCCGACGCTAAGTGGGTACCTATTTGTAATTTCTATTGATACATGTACATACATTAGTAGTTAACAACGCCGCAGTACTGCGCTGTGTTTATCAGTGATAATACAGTGATATAAAAAATTACACTACAGGTTTTAGATGATTAAAAATGCGGTTTGTGTCCACGTAGCTGGATGCGTGAATAAATATGAATTCCGCAGACCGAAATGCATATTTTTAAAAGGATTTTTAATAACAAACGTTTATCAATTAACAAGTTCATTGCGTTAGTTGGGTTTTGTGCGTTCTTGTTACTAGTTTACCAATACGATTTCTACCGAGAAACAACAGGATTAAGTCAAGACTCAAGAAAAAACTCAAAATTTAATGTATGGAATTCATTTCCAGAAGTTCAATTACATAGAGAAGTTATCAATTCATTTTATGAAAAAAGACAGGTTAGATTTTTTATTTATATTTTTATAACTGAAAGATGTAAGTACTGTTTACTGCCATATGGATTGCGTTTCAAAGGCCTCTTAGCCACTTGGCCGAGGAATTTTGGGGACTGGTGAGGAAAAATGAAGAAAATTTATTATACTTATGGACACATTTAGGGGAACGCAGAAAAAAGTGTGTAAAAACTCAAAATATCAGTTACATATCTTGCCACTGTTAATGAACCCTTCTCGATGACGGCGAGCTCCGTATGTACCCCCAAACAATAACTGACCCTCCACAATATGCCTCTTTCCACACTTTAATCATTCTATCATCTGGCTTCAAGCAATCTGAACTCATCTGTAAATAGAACTAGGGCTCCAAGCTTCGTCATTTAAATTTTCGTGATTACGAACAAAATTTACTCGAGCTATTCGGTAGCGTGTTTTTTTTTTTGCCGACTTTCAAAAAGGAAACGGTACTCAATTTTATGTGTGTTACCTCATGACTTTTTACTGGGTGGACCGATTTCGATGATTCTTTTTTATATGAAAGCTGATACTTCTCGTGTAGTCCCATATGAATTTGATCAAGGTCAGACCAATAGTTTTTGAGTTATTCTTAATAACTTATATAGAAGTCGGCTGTACAAAATTTTTAATTTTAAATTATTTTTATAGAATTAGGGTGACAAACGAGCACACAGTCCACCTGATAGTAAGTGGTTGCTGTGGCCCATAGACATTTACATCTATCCTCGATTCCGTATCAAAATGCAGATGTGTTGTCACCCGTGAGGACTAAGATGGAATGCCCCGTTTCCAGTAAAAAAGGGTCTCCGGTTCTCTACACTCACCATACGAAACACAGCAGCGTTATGCTGCTATTTTACGCTGGTATTCTGTGAGAGCGTGGTCCTTCCCCGGTCGAGCCGACCCATTCGTGCTACAACTATACCAGTAATATAGCTGCAGCATGGCTCTATCACTACTACACCCAAGAAGGGTGACTGCCTCTGGCAGTCAAGTGTGAATATATTCCAGCTGATTTCAGTCTTTTTCTCACAGTTTTAGTGCTTAATGTAAGCCCTTGAACTTCTTAGAGCTTTGTTCTTACCTCAGAATAGGTTAAGGTCCAGTTTCTAAGCACGCTGGTAACTATGAACCGGTCATCTCAGGGCACTGTTTTCTGTTTACGTCCTGCCAGTCTCGTAAACGGTTCGGTCTGACGATACCTCTTGATAACTCAGTGTACCACAGATTTTGATACTCTTAATGTCGTGTTTGCAGGTGTTCCCAGTTTCAATTAAAGTAACAGCCTTAGCAACTTGTGTGGCATTTAGATTTGGCATTCTCAATTTATTTGCAGTAACAAATATCACTATCAACTTATGACGATAAATAAGACATAAAAGACAAAAATTTAAACAAAACTTAAATTTAAACTCAAATTCAAAAGTTGGCAAAATTTTCCGCAGTAAAAGAACGCAATATTACACATTAATCATATAAAAACATTAAATACGAAAAAAACTTTCCTAAACTTTCTTTTTTTTAATAACATTTACTAATGTTTGTGGCCAGTACGCACGATAATTAAAATTTTCTTAATTTGACCATGAGTAAGTCTCAAAGATAAAAGTAATTAAACATTATATTTATTTCACCAGACTTGGAGAACATCTAATCTAGGATCAGTTTTATTCAAGAATGTTGAAAGTGATGCGTTTATAAAAGAATATAATAAAAATCGAACATTTGTAATATTGATCTGGAAATATTGGGATTGGTTACAAAATAGGCATTTGTATAGTTTTGGAACAACGCGGTTAGTATTTTTATACTTTTAATATAATATAATATTTGCTTGTTTAATTAACAATTTTTTTTTTATAGGAGAGGGGGCAAACGAGCATGCGGCTCACCTGATGGTAAGTGACTACCGCCGCCCATGAACAACTGCAACACCAGGGGAATCGCAGATGCGTTGCCGGCCTTTTAAAAAGGAGTACGCTCTTTTCTTGAAGGTCCCTAAGTCGTATCGGTCCGGAAAAATCGCTGATGGTAATCGATTCCACAAGGAGGTCGTGCGAGGAAGAAAACATCTTCTAAATCGCACAGTGGTGGACCGCCAATCATCCAGATGGTGTGGATGGTATCGGGAGTTCTGCTGCGATGTGCGTTCGTGAAATTTGGCAGCTGGGATTAATCCGAACAATTCCTCAGAGCACTCCCCGTGGTAGATGCGAAAGAAAATGCAAAGGGATGCAACATCTCTTCGCAGTGCCAATGAATCCAGCCGATCGGAAAGGGCTCGGTCGTCGACAATTCGAGCCGCACTGCGTTGGATGCGGTCAAGTGGAAGGAGCTGGCACTGGGGAGCCCCTGCCCAGAGATGGGAACGGTATTCCCTTCCAAGTGACCACGAAACTGCACGTCACTCGATATGTCGACTCCGAAAATACCGATACTGGCTGAGGCAAGAAGGGGAGTGCCTTGAAACTGAGGAGATACGACAAAGGGGTTCTTTTTAGCGGTAAACGCGCAAACTTGTGTCTTCTGAGGATTAAATTGGACTAGATTTAGTCGCCCCCAATCCTAGACTTTGTTCAGCAAAGACTCGACTTCAGACACAAGTTTGTTCCGGTACTCATCGACGTTTTCCCGAGAAATATTGGCACGGCCGGTGTATAGAGCATCACCAGTGCTGTCATCCGCATAGCAATGAATGTTACCAGTTAGCAACATATCATTGATATGCAGAAGAAACAGCGTTGGTGATAGCACACAGCCTTGTGGAACACCAGCGTTAATAGGCTTGTAGTCAGAGCATGCACCGTCTACAACGGCCTTGATGCTCCGATCTGCAACGAAGCTGGTGATCCAATTGCACAATTTCTCGGGAAGCCCATAGGAAGGGAGCTTCGAAAGAAGCGCTTTGTGCCAAACCCGATCGAAGGCCTTCGCAATGTCCAGACTAACGGCCAACGCCTCCCCCTTGGACTCTACTGCCTCCGCCCATCTATGGGTCAGGTAGACCAGAAGATCACCAGCTGATCGACCCCGACGAAAACCGTATTGGCGGTCACTAATCAGCTGGTGATCCTCAAGGTACCGGATGAGCTGGCAGTTAATAATGGATTCCATTATTTTGGAGAACAAGGAGGTGATCGCGATAGGCCTATAGTTAGATGGGTCTGAGAGGTCGCCTTTTTTAGGGATCGGGTGGACAAAAGCTGTCTTCCATGAATTCGGGACTACGCCTTGGGAGTAGGAGTACCGGAAAAGACGCGTTAGGACCGGTGCCAACTCCGGAGCACACGTCCTCAGCACAATTGGGGGGATTCCGTCAGGCCCACTCGACTTCTGGATGTCCAGGGAGAGCAGTGCTTTGCGAACCGAGCGCTGTGAGAACAGCACATCCGGCATGGAGCACTCACACCGCGGGATGGTCGGCGGTGTTTTCCCCCCGTCATCAAGAGTCGAGTTGGATGCAAAAAGGGAGCCTAAAAGGTCGGCTTTGTCTTTTGCGTCATGGGCCAGTGAGTCATCCCCCCTGTGCAGAGATGGTAGTGATGGCTTACAGAAATTCCCTTGGACAGCCTTGGCGAGAGACCAGAATGCACGGGTTCCCGAAGGAAGGCGAACTAGTTTCTCGCCAATTCTGCCTATGTGCTCTGACTTTGCCTTGGCAATAACTCTTTTGAAGGACCTGGAGGCGAAGTTATACTTCTTTTTAAGTGTGCTGGTATTTACATCCCGAGTCGCCGAAGCCGCAGCCCAGGCTTGATAACACTCCTGCTTACTGCGTAATGCAGTCTTACAGGAGCGACCAAACCAAGACTGAGATCTGCCTCCGATGGTTACCACAGATGATGGAATAAATAGTTCCATTCCCTGTAGCACCACATCAGTGACAGAGTCAGCAACAGCGCTGGGATCATCCGGCGAGAAGCAAACCCGCCCCCATGGGTAGGATGCAAAGAAGGACCGCATTCCGTCCCAATCCGCCGACCTGTAATGCCAAACACGGCGGCAACCTGCAGAACGCAACCGCGAAGGGAGCGTGAGTGGCACCACACTCCGGATCAGACAATGGTCCGAAGAGCCGAGAGGGGCATCGACGGAAACCTGATATCCGTCCGGATGAGAGGTTAGCAGAAGGTCCAACAGGGAAGGTGTATGATCCTCCACATCTGGAATCCGCGTAGGCGAAGTAACCAGTTGTGTCAGACCATATGCCAAGGCAAAGTCATAAACAGATCTCCCCGCATGATCGGTTAGACGTCAACCGAGCCATTCGGCATGGTGGGCGTTAAAATCGCCAAGGATCACGATCTCTGCGGATGGGACCTGTTGTAGCAAGAAATCTGTAGCCATTTGGACGTGGTCGATGAGTCGGTCTGTTTCGGCATTACCGCTATGGGACCTATAGAGGCACCCGTAGACGCGCGGATTGTCGTCGCTGTCTACGCGTAGCCAAAGGATGGACAGGTCCGAACCTTCAAGACTGCCGAGGCGTCGAGAACAGATGTCCTCTCTGACATACACGCAAACTCCAGCCCGAGGCACAAAGGAATGCTCCAATTTGTACCCCGGGTAGGAGAGATACGAAATATCAGCCGGAGAGGAAACCTGCGTCTCGGTCAGAAAGAGCAAGGCCGGCTTCGCCGTCTCGAGATGGTAGTGGACGGCGTTTAGGTTAGAGTGAAGTCCCCTGATGTTGCAGAAATTCACGGATAGCGTGGCAGGGGTCGCCTTGGTGTTCTTGCTCAGTTTGCCCCTAGCAGTAATGCTTTTGAGCGGAATTTTGCCCCCCCCCCCCAGAATACGCGGGGCAGCCTGAGCACCCACGCTCAGGATAGGAATAACATGGTCGTGGATGCTCAGCGAGGGATTCTCCAGGGGTGCTGGTACCCTCCTGGGGTAGTTCTTCGTGTAATTCCGCTACCATGTTGATGGGGGGGGGGGGGGGAATTGGGCCTCCGGCCACCTGCACTCACCAGACGAAACGCAGAAGCAAAGCTTCTACTTCACGCCGGTATTCTGTGAGGTCGTGGTACCAACCCGGCTCGAGCCGGCCCATACATGCAACAGCAAAAACTGCTGCGTGGCTCTACCACCGTTAAAATTTTTTCATGTTTTCTCTATAATTATTAAAGAATAATTATTTATGTGATTATGTCCCGGCATAAGAGTTAATACTATTCTCCCATCTCAGCCAATGGATGTCATAAGAGGTGACTTGGGGTAATAATTTGAAGATTATATTACGTCTTAGTTATACTGTATACGTGTGAACTATAACATACACCGACTTGCAGAAACAATGTCAAAGGTGCGAGGCATCTGATACTGATGCTTAGCAAGGAGAGTATGGCAATTCTTTCCTATTAGAGAGACACTCATGTCCAACAGTAAAATATTTAGGTATTAATGCCAATGAAGACTAATTTTATAGTTACAATTATTTATTATTATATTATATTTATTATTATTATTACAATTTATTTTATTTATTAAAGATTACTTTTGCTAACCGCGCCTTTACAGCAATGAGAGGCAGATTCGGCAAGGAACACCTTAGACAGAAGTTAGACCAAATTGACGATAAATTGGAAATGTTCAAAACTAAGAGTACCCTTAAGCGACGAGCATATACGCGTAGTTTTTTTATCTAATGGGGAAAAACGAGCACACATTCCACCTGATGATAAGTGGATGCCGTTACCTATAGACATCTACATTTATTCTCAATTAAGAGTCATAATACAGATGCGTTGTCACATCTGAGGATTAAGATGGAATACCTCGTTTCCAGTAAAAAGGGTTTCCAGTTCTATATACTCAGCACACAAAACACAATAACATGAAGCTGCTATTTTACGCTGGTTTCTATGACAGCGTGGTCTTACCCCGGTCAAGCCGACCCATTCGTGCCACAATCATAATATACCTGCAGCGTTGCTCTATCACGTACAAGCGTAGATATATACATGTGAATGAAGCAAGAGAGGTGTGTCAGGATTGTTCCAATGAAAGTCTGTAGTCTCTAGGTAGAGAGATACATACATCAACTCTCACGCCAGAGTTTCAGCAGGGTTGATGTATGTATGTCATGATAATCATATCATAAACTCGCATGTCAAAGTGTTCGTCACAAGATTTCTGTTCAAGCATACTTTTAGAAGGCTTTCACCATTCTCACATTCATCACATACATACATGTATGTATGTATGGTTATATGTACATGGTGACATTATCGTATCAGAAATGATTACACCCTATCCCATGAGTATGGCTTCTGAAATTGCGATAGCCAATCCATGTGTCAAGTGCTTGTTTGTAAAAAACTTATGTGCAGTAACGAATGACAGGCTGATGACGACATATACACTAATCTGATATTTAATGACCACGTGGCTTCGGCACCGGAATATCTACTTTCTAAATGATGTGGTTTCAGCCCCAACCAGTAGCAGCCAATATTTGTGCAAAAACACAAATTTATAGCTTTTGAGTCGAATTATGTTGTACCCGTATCTATGAAACTACATCTTAACCTTCGTAAGTTACTTCACTGTAGCCTACTGTGTTAAGATCGGTAATAGTTTCGATGGTAAAATAAGTAAGCAGCGGCTAACTAGTCTACCACTAGTACACAATAGTTAGTAGCATTACGAGTATATAAGATAGTTGTATATTCGCAAGATGTCGCCGTGGCAAATTTTTTAACATAATGTACTAACTAATAAATAATTACATTATTTTAAATTACAGAGTAGATGTTTCGTTAGTTGGATGCAGTGTGAAGAATTGTAGATTTACTAAGAACGAGCAGGATTTGAAAATAGCAGATGCTGTAGTGGTACATTTACAGCATGGACAATTCCCAGATTCCAGGAAAAGAACTTCCCATCAAAAATGGGTATTTTTAAGTGACGAATCGCCAAGAAACACTTTTTCATTGGCGAAACGGCAACCAAAGCTACAAGAATTATCTCAAGTTTTTAACTGGTCTATGACTTATAGGTGTGTAGTTATGATTATATAAAATATATTTACCATTCTAGCCCGTCACAAGTCCACTGTGGTATGGATTGGATCCTTACCGTAGTTGTAACATTTATTATTACTAAGTTGTTATCAGGAAGACGGTGCTGCCCATCTCCTGTGTCAGTTTCACTCTGTTGCCTCTTTCGACACCCATGGAAAATAAGGGGTAGTGGTGTTTCTTACAACTCTACGGCTTATGTAATGTTATATAGGTGGTAATGGTATCAAATTAGTTGAAAATAATATCAAACACAGACTACAGATCCTTGAAGGCGTAAAAATTCCAAATTCCCAGCCAACGTAATAGAAAGATACGACTATTTATGTTACATATTTTGATACTTGCAAACTCACTTCCCGTTAAACTGATACCATAAGTAAAGGAAAATTCTGAAATTATTTGAAGTTATATCGCATAAAATATTTTTTCGCTAATACAAACTAACATGAGTCGATGATGATGATTCCGCGATGGTGACCGATGCATGGAAGCAAATTTTTTTGCAAATTTAGGTTCCTTTTTCAATTAGACGCAAAGGATCGTGTTGTGCGCAAATAATCTAAATAAATAATTATTTATAAAGAAACCCTCTCGGCGTGAGACCTACTCACTTTTGTCTGGTTTTAATTTAATACATTATCCAGAGGAATTCAATTATTAAAAACAATTTTCACTATGTTTTTCGAAAAACTAATATTTACTCTACAAAAGAAAGTTATTTTTAATTCCTGACGTTCAGACGCTTAAAAGTAGTAAAGCCACGCTGCAGCTATATTATGGTAGCACCAATGGCTCGGCTAGACCGGAATAGGACTACGCTCCCACAGAATAGCGTAAATAGCAGCATAATGCTGCTGTATTTCGTATGGTGAGTGTAGAGAACCGGAGACCCTTTTTACTGGAAGCGAGGCATTCCATCTTAGTCCACGGGGGTGCCAACGCAGCTGCAATATGAATCTTTATCGAGGATAAATGTAGATCTCTATGGGTCTCTGCATCCACCTACCATCAGGTGGACTCTGTCCTAATTTGTCACCAATATTCTATAAAAACTCCGATACATATTTCCATCCCCTATTTAACCCTGAAATGGGACAAAAGACCAAATACATATTTTTATGGAACTGCTTTAGGGGAAAATATCATATTTTTTTACATTACAAAAGAAACCTACAATTCCAACTTCAGGGAAGTATAATTACTTCAGCGGCTTTCACGACTCGTCGATGATAAAAGTCGATTAGGACATGTTCTTTCATTTATATAGATTAGGTACCAATTACTTTCTGCAATTAAAAAAATTTGATAAGTATACACTACTACTACTATACAATACTAATTAAAAAATGTCGGGAATTAAAGTGTTAAAATTATACGCGATAAAATCCGTAAAATTAGTTTAATTTAATGTACACATACTTTGTTTTTATATATTTCAACAAGAATCAATCAAATTCAAATTACAATCATCATTACAGGAATGCCACAAAGCACGGTCCTGAGCCACCTATATCCATCGACTTCCTGCTTGTCTTACCAAAACGCCACTCCATCTAGTGGGGGGACTCCTAACACTTCGTCCGCCGGTACGAGGCCACCACTCTAGAACCTCTTTTCCCCATCGATTGTCGGTTCTTTGAGCTATATGGCCAGACCATTGCCACTTCAGCGTACTAATCCGTTGGGCTATGTCGGTCACTCTGGTTCTACTGCAGATATCCTCATATCTAAGTTTATCACGCAGAGAAACTCCGAGCATAACCCTCTCCATAGGTCGCTGAGCGACTCAAAGGCTTTCTCATAGTCCTATATTATGTCCTATATATGTAGTAGATTTTAATCTTCGGTCTTCTGTACAATTTGCCGAAGGGTATGTATGTGGTCTATGGTACTAGCCTTTTAGGAAACCGGATTGTTCGGGAGGCTGGAAGTCGTCGAGTTTGCATGCGAGACGATTCGTAATGACTCTCGAAAACAGCACATCGACGCGGCTCAGAAGGCAAATCGAACTGTAGTTCTTCAAGAGAGCGTTGTCACCTTCCTTGAAGAACAAGACCACCGCACTTCTGCTCCACGCCTTCGGTGTGGAAGAACTTCAAGTACCAGTTTTCCACCCGCTTACGGAAGGTTTAATTCCATCCCCGCCTGTTATTTTTAAGGTGCTAGAGGTGCCATTCTAATCTCGCTCAGACTGACGTCCGGAATATCATCGGAATTGTGTCGGATAAGACTTGCTCTTGGATCGTTACTCACACTTGTGTGTGGCTCCAACGATGATGTGTACAGCTGCCCATAGAACCTCTCAATCTCACCCAAAATCTCAGGTGTCCCGGAAACAATGCTGCCACACTCGGTCTTCAGCTTTGACAATTGGCGCTTTCTGGCAGACAGATCTCTGGCAAAGACTTTGGAGCCTTGGTTCCACTCGATCGCTTCTTCAATACGAGCTGTATTGAAGTTGCTTAAGCATGCATGCATTTGGAGACCTGTCTGTTCAGTTGCCTGTATGCTGTCAAATCTGTTGAAGACTGCAGCTTTATTTCCCGTCTAACAGCCATGAGATTAAGTGTGATCGGAGAGTTTTAGTATTCTTCTGCGGCAGGTCTTGCAGAACTTAGCTCCGACCGCATGGAGAGTTTCTATGACCTTGTTATTTATATCATCTGCATTGCAATCTTCGAGACACTGAAAACGATTTTGTAACTCGAGCTGAAAGGTTTCGGGACTTTGGATTAGTGCACGAGGGGGACGAAGCGTTGACTTCATTAGACAAGACCTCTGTAACATACCGTTTAGTTTCAGTGTGCCTCTAACCATTTGGTGATCGCTACCAGTTTTAATCCTCGCGATCACTGAGACAACAATGAACAGTTGTCGTCTGGTCGTCATAATGAAGTCAACCTCACTTTTTGTCGAACCGTCTGGGCACGACCAGGTCTACTTCTTGTGGGTTCGCTTCTGGAAAAAAGTTCATCATAAAGAGTCCCTCATTTTCCATGAAGTCGGCCAGCTGCTGGCCCCTTGGGTTCCGCTGCCCTATTTCCCTACCTTCAGGTCACCGTACTCTCTTGTGCCTAGTTTTGAAATCTCGCATTAACCTCATAATATCCTCATACATTTCCTCCACCTCCTCATCGGTAGGTGCCGATGTTGGTGCGTTAACCTTCAGCGAATACCGTTTAGTGATTCTGAGTATAAGGTACGCAACCCTCGTCGACACACTCTCAATCTTTACAACGTCGTTAACGAGAGACTTGCGGATGATAAATCCAACACCTCCTTGGGACAGATGGTCGCCCTCCCGGTGACAGAACAAGTTGCCGGATTCGAAGATTACCATGTCCTTCCCCTCTCTTCAGACCTCAGATAATCCTATAATATTCTTGCGCAACTTGTCTATCTCTTCTTCCGGCTCCAGGATCTTCTCGTCAGTCCTCAGGGTGCGTGTGTTATATGTTGCCAGTTCAAGTCGTCTTAGGTGGCAACCGAACCTCCACCTGAGATTCTTAGTACTCCCTGTCCCGCCGTTACCAAGGTGGCCACCGTAGCCAGGAATAGCGGGGCCGCCGGGGAGTGGGTGCCATTACTGCGCTCTGCGAGCGGGTTGGCAACCGCAGTTTTTTTTTATTGTTGTTTTGCTGTTACCAGAAAGATGCTGCTGCCCATCTTACGCCTCAGTTTCTCTCTGTCGCCTCTTACGACACCTATGGGGATACAATGCAAAGCTTAAATTCATCAACTATTTTATGTGGGCGCCATCTTTATGAACGGAAATCAGGTGTAAATGGAACAGTACAGTTTGAAGCTTGGACTTTCACTCACATTCTTTACAAATTATACCCGATCAGCAAAATTTGTGTGTATATTGTAATCACAGTTGTGAATAATAGTATTCCGAAACACAAGTATACTAGCAGTTTCATATGTCTGCGTACTGGCCTTGTATACAACGGAAAGACGCCACGGTGCTGTACTTAAATGTTCTCAGACTGACGACATTTTTGTCATAATATATTTTGATCAAAGAGAATATAATCACTAAGTTTACGTTTGATACCAAAAGACGTTCCCGTAGTTAAAGCAGTTCAGGATGACATTATCATTATAATATATTTATATTATACAAATATAACTTCCAGGGAAAATCTTCTTATAATCTGCTTAGGTCATAAAATATCTACATACTGCTAGATATTACCGATACATAATATCAGACAAATATGTATGTAATATAGGTAAATACCAACATTTGATGATCATTGATTACAGAAGTGACTCCGATGTGCCTGTGCCGTACGGGCGTACTCAACCCTTGCCAGAAGCATTGTCCGTTGAACTGACAAAGAAAACAACAATAGATTTGATTCCCAACTGGAATAAAAAACGACGCGATGTCCTGGCGGCAATTCTTATATCTAATTGTGCTGTTTCACATCGAATGGCATATATAAAAGAATTACGGAAGCATCTGGATGTCGATGTGCATGGACGATGTTCAGAAAATCTCAAAAATAGGTATGAGTTATTTTGTTGTATGTAAACATTTTCATGACGTTATTTGGTGCAAAGAAATATAGTTCATTTATAAATTTAAATATACCATGGCTGTCGTAAAATTTGAGGAATAGCCTTAGATATCTTATCGCATCTGAGATGATGAAAGTGGTTATCCAAACCAGACTGGAAGTATCATTGATCGAAGTATCAGATATATATAATGCAATGCAGTACAATCGCTAAACCATCTACGAAGCGCGACTGTGGTGGCAAATTCGTCACTTGGAACACAATGTACTATTTAATAGATAACTTATATCCAGTTGTAAACTTATATAATAAATTACGGAGTAAATGAATGAATAAACAACGAGCACATGGAGTGAGAATAGTTGGATATATGATAATGAAAGAAACTGGGATGTATTGTGTATAGGGTCTCCTAAATATTATTTTTCTATTTATGATATTATTATGCTCCGTTTGATATTATATTTCATTCATTTACGGTGCGTACACATTATAAAACGTTGTTATATAACATATTTCATTAATGTGGATGCTAAATGTTATAAAGCATGTTATATAACTCGAAAGGCAGAACGACAAACGACAATGTCATATACCATTGTTATATTGCATTGTTATTCTAATGTGTACAGTATTGTTATATGTTGCAATGTTGAAAAACAATGTTTAATAATGTGTACTTGTTATAACTGTATACTTGATCTGTACGCACCCTTAGATACAGTCAGTCGAAAGTCTATTACTGAGCATTCATTCATTTGCCTCATGGGTGTTATTTTTTTAAAGATATTTGCAATAGTTGCCACGCTTGGCAGGCGTGAAATATCGAAGAAATTATGGCTATCGATGGATGGTGGTATAACTGTCTCTTTTTTGTCAGACATAAAATGACCAATCCGGTAACGGGAGCAGCGGCAAAAGTGCGAGGTGTCTAGTACGGCGATCGTCATAGCGCCTGCCAAGCAATGGTAGTTAAACTACGGACGATTAATCAACGGGGGATAATGATAAGGAATAATAATGAAAAATCATTCTATTTGTTTCAGCTGTCCAGGTCATTTCCGATCTGATTGTCCAATAATATCGGAATATTTATTTTATTTGGTATTAGAAAATTCAATGTGCCGAGAATATTTGACGGAAAAAGCTTTCTATCACGCATACTATAAAGGCGCTATTCCTGTCATAATGGGTCCATCAATAGAAGACTGCGAGCAATTATTACCGCCGAATTCTTTCTTACACGTCGATAATTATGCCACACCTCGAGATCTTGCTGAAGAAATTACTAGATTAAGTAATGATATTCCCAGGCTGCTTACATTTCATGAATGGAGGAGACATTTTGAAATTTTAAATGAACACGGGTATTTTGGATCTAAGTCTCGACATTACTGCAGATTATGTGAAGCTTTAAATTACAACGATGCTGCTGTGAAAGTTTACGACGAAGATGATTTGAAAAACTTCTTAGATCCATCGTTAGTATGTAGATGAAACGCTTTGTGGCCTTGTTTTAAATTGTATTATCGGCAGTTTAAAGTTTTAACCAAGACTTTTAAAACCGACGGTATAATAAAAGTGTACTACTCTATGTTGACATTTTTAAGACAATTTTTGTTAACAAATTCTTATACGAAGATTCAATGTTAAAATATTTATAACACATCTAACAAGTCCAGTGTTGGTGCTAATTAAAAAAATGAGTATTTTTTTTTAATTTTATCATTTATTTATTTTTTATTCATTCATTTATTACAACCTATCAAAGTCGACTACTGGACATAGGTCTCCCCATAGATTGCCTCAAAAGGGGATATTTCCCATAGTTGCCGTGCTGGGTAAGCGGGTTGACAACCGCAGGTTTTCTCATTTTGTACTTTTTACTAGGAAATCGCTACTGCCCATCTCCTTTCATGACTTTCTACCGGCTCTTACAACATTTCATTACAATCAGTTTAGCCATTAGACGCCCATTACACGCCTAGGTAAGCGTTAATCAGTTCGATCAATCATGATTGACGTTTGAATGATAGAATAATTTCGACATTCATGCTCGTGCTGACTGATGTCAGTCAAACCCAAATTTTCGGAGGGAAAGGATAGCATAAGAAAAAGGCCTGTGCTGCAATTTTAATTTCAATTTTGTGTAAAAATCTATAAGAAGAAGGCGTTGGGTAAAAGACTGGCTTTTAAAAGGGATTTCTATATATTTTTCTAATTCTCAGCGGTAGTTGGATCTGATTGAATTAATTTTTTTCTTCACATCATCTAGGGTAGCGACTTTCTTAATTTTTCTCAAAATAGGCAACAACTTCGCCAAGTTTTCATTTCTGCAATCAAATCTTATCTTTAATTTTGGTAGCGATGTTTGGTAAATAATACACATACCTACCTATAAACTATGTTCATTTTCGATTCACCATTTAACTGTAATTTAATATCTTGAAAAGAAAAAGAAAAAAACGAATAGGAAAAATTGTAACATTTAATATCATTTTACCTATTTTAATTTAACGCGCGCCAATGTTCGACCTCTTGGAGCGCATAATCGATACGCGGCTTTATTTCAAACGCATTTATTTATTTAGATAGCTTTAGGACGAAAAATAAGCTTACCTTTTATATTTATTCGTATACCCGGGGTTTTTCGTGTCCCACAACTCGGGGAGAGCCTCAAAATTTAAAATAAAATCTTTTTCTGGCTAAAGTACGTTTGGAGGGAGTGGCGACAGGCTGCTGCGCGAGCGCGTGGAAGCCGTCTCTTCAATATATTCAGCGTCCGCTTCCATTGCTGTCTAAGCGTTGACTGACGCGTGAATGACGAAATGCCACAATTGGCATTAAAAGGCTAGTAATAGGGGCATCCACCCTATACGAATAAATATAAAAGTTAAGCTTATTTTTCGTCCATAAATGCGTTTCAAATAAAGCCGCGTGTCTATTATGCGCTCGAAGAGGTCGAACATTGGCGCGTGTTAAATTAAAATGGGTAAAATGGTATTAAATATTACAAGTTTTCCTATTCGTTTTTTTCTTTTACTTTTCAAGATATTAAATTACAGTTAAATGGTGAATCGAAAATGAACTTAGTTTATAGGTAGGTCCTTTCCATCCGAAAATTTGGATTTGACTGACATCAGTCAGCATGAGCGTGTAATGTCGAAATTATTCTATCATACAAACGTCAATCATGATTGATCGAACTGATTGACGCTTGCCTAGGCGTGTAATCTGTAAAATGCGTGGGTGTCTTAGACGTTAGGTAGGTTTTGCTGTCAGTTTTACAACAATCACGGTTGTGATTGACGAATAACCTACCGTGTAATGTAGTGATTGACGGTTTCATGAAATTGATTGACAAATATTTGGATATTTTGATATTTACGTCAATCAACTATCAGTCACGAATTTTGATTCAACGTGTAATGGCATTTCGTCAATCACGCGTCAGTCAAAGCTTAGACATCAATGGAGGAGGACGCAGAATATATTGAAGAGGCGGCTTCCACGCGCTCGCGCAGCCCGTCGCCACTCCCGCCAAACGTGCTTCAGCCAGAAAAACATTTTATTTTAAATTTTGAGGTTCTCCCCGAGTTTTGGCACACGAAAAACCCCGGGTAGGGTGGATGTCCCTAATACCAGCCACGCCCCTAATTCCAGCCTTTCCGCCTTTTTACTTCGTAAATAAGATTTCTAGTAGTCTTAACTACAAATATTGTCGGCTAATAAATTCTTCTTAACTAGGAGAAAGTATGTTTCAAATATTACCTCACAGTTTTAAACCTAACAGTGTTAAATTAAAAATCATAACACGTACGCAACGAAAAACGCTCATTTTCCTAATTTTTTGACAAGTTATGGTCCCGATACAATTAAGCATATTTTACATTAGCTCAGCTTTAGGCTTTTTGATTTGTATGAATGTGACTATAGACATAGTAATGCAGCTATTTTTGTTTAAATCTATGAGTGTTTTATTTTATTTTAGTGGAAATTAATGGGGCTGTAATTAGATATACGAAATGTATGGAGTGCTTAAAGTCAGCTGCCCGGCTGTTATTTGGTTTGACGTACATCATAATAAGAAGTACTTAATTTCAGCCACGTAATATAAATCAGGGCTGTCATAAACTGGAATAAATACCATTAATTAGAACATAACTTATTTTATAGTTAAGGAAGTTATGATCAATTCGTCATATTTTAAAATTGGTTTTTTATTTAAAAGTTTAACAAATGATACGTACTTGCTTTTCAGACATTTGGTATATGTTAAGAACACCATACAATATTTAATTATTTTTTGAGAAAGACAAAACAAACAATAAATGTAATTAACTACAACTTAGTAATACTAATTTTACTATAACTTAAGAACATAAATGAAAAAGTCATAACCAGGAAAGTTATTCAGGACCATACTTTGCGGCAGTCTATGGAGAATGATGTTCTGTAGTCGACTTGTGAAGGGCTGAAATGATGATGAAGGTTCAAAAACTTGGATGATTAAATTATAAGAAATCTTTGTACTATAATACATAATTTTTATTATAATATTGTTTTAATTAATTGTAGTCTGCAGTGTAGTGTTAAAAGAAAAATGGAACTGCTTAAAGCTAAACCCAGCTAAACCACAGTAAGGTACTCGTAAGAAGTAAAACATTAAAATAAAATAATTGTTGACGTCTATCTTAATACATATTCCATGCTTGTGACATGCAGGATTTAAAATTAAAAGTTGTTATGAATTTATTTCAGTGCCCCTAAAACTTACCTACAATAGGTACCTACCAAAAACTACAACTACAAGGCATAGCCCTATGCTATACTGGCATTAGGTACACAAAAGGAAATTGAAATTGGCACTAAAAGCACAGTATATAAATATATATACTGTGCTAAGAGGCTGGTAATAGGGACATCCACCCTATACGAATAAATATAAAAGGTAAGCTTATTCTTCGTCCATAAATGCGTTTCAAATAAAGCCGCGTATTGATTATGCGCTCCAAGAGGTCGAAATTTGGCGCGCGTTAAATAAAAATGGGTAAAGTGATATTAAATATTACAATTTTTCCTATTCGTTTTTTTTTTCTTTTTAAGATATTAAATTATAGTTAAATGGTGAATTGAAAATGAACTTAGTTTATAGGTACGTCCTTTCCCTCTGAAAATTTGAGTTTGACTGACATCAGTCAGCATGAGCGTGTAATGTCGAAATTATTCTATCATTCAAACGTCAATCATGATTGATCGAACTGATTGACGCTTGCCTAGGCGTGTAATGGGCGTCTTACACGTTCAATCAAAATTCGTGACTGATAGTTGATTGACGTAAAAATCAAAATATCCGAATATATGACGCCCATTACACGGTAGGTTTTGCTGTCAGTTTTCAAACAATCACGGTTGTGATTGACGAATAACCTACCGTGTAATGGGGTGATTGACGGTTGCATGAAATTGATTGACAAATATCTGGATTTTTTTGATTTTTACGTCAATCAACTATCAGTCACGATTTTTGATTGAACGTGTAATGGCATTTCGTCAATCACGCGTCAGTCAACGCTTAGACAGCGATGGAGGCGGACGCAGAATATATTGAAGAGGCGGCTTCCACGCGCTTGTGAAGCCCGTCGCCACTCCCGCCAAACGTGCTTCAGCCAGAAAAAGATTTTATTTTAAATTTTGAGGCTCTCCCCGAGATGTGGGACACGAAAAACCCCGGGTATCAGCCACACCCCTAATTCCAGCCTTTCCGCCTTTTTACTTCGTAAATAAGATTTCTAGTAGTCTTAACTACAAATATTGTCAGCTAATAAATTCTTCGTAACCAGGGGAAAGTATATTTCAAATATTACCTCACAATTTTAAACCTAACAGTATTATTTTAAAAATCAAAACACGTACGCAACGAAAAACGCTCATTTTCCTAATTTTTTGACAAGTTATGGTCCCGATACAATTAAGCATATTTTACATTAGCTAATCTTTAGGCTTTTTGATTTGTATGAATGTGACTATAGATATAGTAATGCAGCTATTTTTGTTAAAACCTATAAGTTTTTTATTTTATTTTAGTGGAAATCAATGCGGCCGTAATTAGATATACGAAATGTATGGAGTGCTTAATATCAACTGACGGGCTGTTTGACGTATTTGGTTACATTTGGTTTGACGTACATAATAAGAAGTACCTAATTTCAGCCACGTAATATAAATCAGGGCTGTCATAAACTGGAACAAATACCATTAGTTAGAACATAACTTATTTTATAGTAAAAGAAGTTATGATCAATTCGTCTATATTTTAAAATTGATTTTTGATTTAAAAGTTTAGCAAATGATACGTACTTGCTTTTCAGACATTAATTTGGTATATGTTAAGAACACCATACAATATTTAATTATTTATGAGATAGAAAAAAACAATAAATGTAATTAAATACAACTTAGTAATACTAATTTTACTATAACTTAAAAACATAAATGAAAAAGTCATAACAAGGAAAGTGGTTCAGGACAATGCTTTGCGGCAGTCTATGGAGGATGATGTTCTGTAGTGGACTTGTGACGGGCTGAAATGATGATGAAGATCCAAAAACTTGGATGATTAAATTATAAGAAATCGATGTACTATAATACATAATTTTTATTATAATTTTGTTTTAATTAATTGTTTAGTGTTAAAAGAAAAATGGAACTGCTTTAAGGTAAGAAGTAAAATATTAAAATAGAATAATTGTTGTCGTCTATCTTAATACATATTCCATGCTTGTGACATGCATGGTTTATTAAATATTAGAAATTATCCTATTCTTTTTTTTTAACTTTTACTTTTCAAGATATTAAATTACAGTTAAATGGTGAATCGAAAATGAACTTAGTTTATAGGTAGGTAAACTAAGTTCATTTTCGATTTCCTTCCCTCCGAAAATTTGGGTTTGACTGACATCAGTCAGCATGAGCGTGTAATGTCGAAATTATTCTATCATTCTAACGTCAATCATGATTGATAGAACTGATTGACGCTTGCACAGGCGTGTAATGGGCGTCTATGTCAATCAATTTCATGCAACCGTCAATCACCGCATTACACGGTAGGTTATTCGTCAATCACAACCGTGATTGTTGTAAAACTGACAGCAAAACCTACCGTGTAATGGGCGTCTTAGAAAGATTAGCATAGACAGATAAACAGACGGATAGACAGACACATAAACGAAAATTTTAAAAATGTCTATTCACATTTTGATAGCTTTTAAATAACTTGGTCTCAATAGCAGGTTGTTATTTCGATATTACAACCACCCCGGCGGCCCCGCTATTCCTACGGTGGCGATCATGGTAACGGCGGGGCAGGGGATGCTAAGAATCTCCGGTGTAGGATCGGTTGCCGTCTAAGACGACTCGACCTGGCAACATACAATGCACACACCCTTAGAACAGACGAGAAGATCCTGGAGCTGGAAGAAGAGATAGACAAGATGCGCTGGGATATTATAGGATTATCTGAGGTCCGAAGAGAGAGGGAGGACACGGTAATCCTCGAATCCGGCAACTTGTTCTATCACCGGGAGGGCAAACATCTATCCCAAGACGGTGTCAGATTTATCGTCCACAAGTCCCTCGTTAACAACGTAGTAAAGATTGGAAGTGTGTCGACGAGGGTTCTTTATACTCAGAATCACTAAACGGTATTCGCTGAAGGTCATATACGTTTACGCACTAAACTCGGCACATCCCAATGAGATGGTGGAGTAAATATATGAGGATATGTCTAAAGACATGCATTCCTACAGAACCCACTATACGGTATTAATGGTAGACTTCAACGCAAATCTAGGCATAAGAGAGAAAGGTCAGCTGAAGGTAGGGCAATTTGGTATAAGGCAACGGAACCCAAGGGGCCAGCACCTGGCTGACTTCATAGAGAAAGAGGGACTCTTTATGATGAACTCTTTCTTCCAGAAGCGACCCCACAGGAAGTGGGGCCTGGTCATGTCCCTACAGTTCGACAAAAATTGAGATTGACTTCATTATGCTGACCAGACAACAACTGTTCAGTGTTGTCTCAGTGATCGCGAAGGTGAAAACTGGTAGCGAACATCTAATGGTTAGAGGCACACTAAAACTAAACGTTATGTTGGTCACGTCTAATGAAGTCAACGCTCCGTCCCCCTCGTGCTCTAATCCAAAGTCCCGAAAACTTTTAGCTCGAGTTACAAAACCGTTTTCAGTGCCTTGAAGATTGCAATGCAGTGGACGATATAAATGACAAGGTCATGAAAAATGTCCATGCGGTCGGAAGTAAGTTCTGCAAGACCCGCCGCAGAAGAATACTAAAACTCTCCGATCAAACTTATTCAGTTAGACAGGAAATGAAGCTGCAGTCTTCAACAGATCTGACAGCATACAGGCAACTGAACAGACAGATCTCCAATTATCAAAGCTGAAGAAAGAGTGTGGCATCATCGTTTCCGGGACACCTGAGATTTTGAGTGAGATTAAGAGGTTCTATGGCACATCATCGTTGGAGCCCCACGCAAGTGTGACTAACGATCCAAGAGCAAGTCTTATCAAAGGCTGTTGTGGTTATTGCATTAATTAAGTAATACGAAATTATGATGAAAATTATGCACAGAGTAAAGGGATACCCGATCCAGCTAAGCTTTCTGGCTTCAGTGAAAGTGCTTAAGGTAGCAAACCACAAAGAATCGTCATGTTTAACTGTGAATGTCTTGGTGGTTTAAATAATAGAACAAAAATGTACATTTGTGTTTTTCCTATTTGTTTTTAGTACCTACGTTGGGCTTTTTATTTTTACTTACTTGTTTACTGCTTGTCGCTTTTTATTGTCGCAACTCATAAGCCAAGTAGCGCCGATGTAAGACCTTCCACTACCTCATATCATTCGGTGGGTGTCGTAAGAGGCGACATAGGGAAAAAAAATCAGGAGATGGGCAACAGTGTACCGACTTAAAATAAGAATAAAGTGTAGTTGCCAACCCGCTTGCCAAGCGTAGCATCTATGCCAAATATTCCCCATTGAGATTATAACAGCTGTCGGATAAGGTCTAACAGCTGTCATAACCTCAAAACTATTCGATAATTAATTGAATTTTTTTCTTATACTCTATTCCAATTACGAAGTCCCTTTTGGAACTTCTTAGAACGTAACTCTTCACGTTTCGCATAATTTGAAATAATAATCATTTTTGTTCATGGTCGTAAATCATCATTTAAAAATACGCAATCAATCTGAATCATTATACAATTAATTCACACACACAATCAACATATTGTTTTTAGACATCGTGCTCAAAATAATTAAAACTTTAAAAGATAATAATATTTTACTGCCGTTTTGCGTTTACGTTCTATAGTTTTATTTTTACTTTTTTACATAGTGACGTGACTAAAAGAATCGTATAAAATCGATTATAGACAGATTCTTTTCGCGAGTGAAAATCTGTCAACACTGCGTCCACCTCGTGATCACGACCGCCATTTTATTTATCTCTTCAGTACGAGTGCAGAAGTCTTGTATACGATACGCATGTTCAGTTTAGTTGATTTTGTGTTGTGTATTTATTTCATTCTTGTTATTGTAGTTATAACTGTTTGATAATTCTTTCGTTGTTATTAAGTTTTGACTGTTATTTGATTTGGTTTTTTTTTTTGTATTTATAAACACTATGGCCGAAACTGGGACCACTAAAAGAACAGTGATTTGCAGTCAAGCGCGAGAGTTTTTAGTACGCCTACAAGATTACTTTGAAAGAGAGTATCAGAATGGTGGTCCATTGTTGCCACTTTCACAAGTGACTAACCGAGTAAGTGCAGCTCTTGGTATTAGTCGAAAAACTGTTTCCCGAATAAGTAAGGAAAAACATGGTAAAGATTTAATGGAAGATAACAAATTAAAATCGCCACTTAAGAGAAAAGTTAGAAGATCGATAGTTACACATATCGACAATTTTGATCACGACGCCATTAGAAACCATATCTATGGCTACTATAGTAGGAACGAATTGCCGACTCTCGATAAATTGTCAAATACTTTAGAGAATCTGGACTGTTTCACGGCAGTAGAAGTTCTTTCTGGAGGGTTTTAAAAAATGTTGGCTTTTCTTATAAAAAATATGATAAAAGGCGGATTTTGATGGAACGTAGAGATATAGCTTTAGCCAGATTTAATTTTCTAAGATCAGCAAAGTCCATTGCCGTTTGGAATAATGTAATATTTCTAGATGAAAGGTGGCTAAACACTAATCATACAGTTGGCAAGATATGGACAGACGACACTCCTCACTCCTCCACAAAAGTACCTAGTGGCAAAGGCGAACGCTTAATTATTTGTCATGAGGGTTCCATGAAGGGATTTGTTCCGAACTGCCTCTTGGCGTTTAAATCTAAGCAAACTGTGGAATACCACGTCGAAATGAATTTTGTTAAATTTAAGGAATGGTTTTGTACCTTATTGACCAACTTGAATGAGCCATCGACGATCATTATGGATAATGCACCGTATCATTCAGTACAAATAAGTAAGCCTCCAACTTCTAGCAGCAAAAAAGCCGATATTGGGAAATGGCTGAATGACAATAATATTGTTGCTGACATGTCCATGTTAAAAGTTGAGCTGCTGCATTTGGTTGCTATAAATAAGCCTGTTAGACCAAAATACGTATTGGACGAAATGGTTAAGGAAGCCGCACACAATGTAATGCGTCTTCCACCATACCATTGTCAATACAATGCCATAGAATTGATTTGGGCGCAAATTAAAGGCAAGAATTTAAACAAATCTTTTTTATAATTTATTTTTACCTATTTTAACATTTTATCTGTTTCTTTATTAACACGCAAAACTTTATTTTAGGTTATGCGGCTCTTAAAAATACCAGCCCACCGTTTACTGCAAACAAAATGCTGTCATTGTTGCAAGAAGCTTGTGATAGTGTTACTTCCGCGAATTGGGAAATTGTGGTTTTACGAACAAAAAATTTGATTTTCGCTGATTGGGACAGAGACATACATATCGATGCTCTCATAGATAACCAAATTATAATAAATATAGGGGATTCTACAGACGATGATGAGGGTGATGACGACGACGCCGACCATGAAATATCGATTTCGGCTAGTGATGATGAATATGTTCCATCTTGATAAAAATATCATGTAATATTATCTAATTAAAATTAAAAAAACAGTTGTATAAATTTTAATTTGAAGCTAATCCTTTTTCTGTCAATATAATTTTAATTTGTTCGTTATAGTAATCGAAGATCAATATCATCAAGTATCGACTATAGCGGTACTTTACTAGTACTTGATTATTGACATCTGTCAAATGGGACTTCGTAATTGGAATAGAGTATAATCGCTGAGAGAGTTACAATCAATCCGAAAGAAATCCCTCTTCAATTTAATATCATCAAATCGGCGCGCGGTATCAAACAGCAGTTATATTCTCTTAATATCCCGCCGATGCTGAGTTTTAAAGACTACACGCGTAATGATAGTACATCCATGATTTCTACACTACACTTTGTAAAAGTTAGAGCAATATAGGTATAGTTCATTGAATTATCGGTTAAAATTTGTCGTTGAAACGGACCAGATTCCAGGAGTCTGCTTGACGGACGACGCTTTCGAACTCTAAAAGTCTGATGAACAGACAAGGAGGAGTAAATAATACATAATACTGCCCCACTGCTGGGCAACGGCCTCTACTCATACAGAGAAGGCATGAGCGTTAATCACTACGCTTGGTCAAACCGATAACGCTGAAGCGTATTAACACAACATGTGTTACAGTTTATAAAAAGCAATCTCCGTCGAAGGTTCCATAACGCTTTCCAACAAGAGCGAAAACGTCTTAGATTTCGATCAAGAAACTCTAAATTAGTATCCGTATAACACAGGCCAAAGTAATCATAAATGGAAGGTATCGAATCGAAGTCCGAGGAAAATGCAAAAGTTGTAAGGGTATTGTATTTTTTTTATAACTGGTTTTTTCGGCTCTGAGTTCTAGTCCTTCTGAGCCTGATGTTACAATGTATAATATTAAATTAATAAATAAATATTATCCTTCATAGTACACTGCTTCATAATATGTTGATGCGTCACATTGTGCAGTCTTTGGAAGATTTTGACGCCAACTTCAGCCAGCAGACAGCTGACAGTTGACGATGGTGTGGCGGCGCCACAAGCAAAACACATCGAAGCCTAAATCGCGCTAACTCAGTTCCGAAGTTAAAGCAGTATATATAGAATAGCTCCGAACTACCACTCGGAGCGTTGACCCCTCCCCGGGCAGAACACCTTGCCCGGCGGGAGGTCTCCCCTTTTCCTTCTACCGGCTACACTGGTGACCACCCGGCGTGATATGAACACGCAACCAACAACCTTCGGAAACTACAACTTCAAAACCTTCGTCATCGTCCTCAAGTACCCCATTCATTCGCTCCCGAGCAGATATTGTCTGCAGTCTTCACATTCTGCAAGTCATCTAGCTTTACAAAGGTCACATCGCAGCACTGGAATAATAATGCTTCCTGTTCCTTCAAGCTACTTTCTGCTACAGTGTTCGGCACGGCTCTAAGACTTACTGCTCGCCTCTGCTTCACGGCACTCTCGCAGATTACTTGCCTTCTTCTCGACTCATCGCAGACTACAAGGCAATCCCAGGCACATGCTCCGGCTCATCCTTCTCACCGACATCACTTGCAAGTGCGTAGTACGGCATGCATTCTTCACCGACATTAAGGACGCACCGACAATCGGACTGCACTGTCGACCTCCGGTCTGAACAGGGGGATGATGTAGTGGCGTTGTCGTCGCGCCACAAGCGAAACACATCGAAGCCTAAATCGCGCTAACGCAGTTCCGAAGTTAAAGCAGTATATATATAATAGATGCGAACTACCACTCGGAGCGTAGGCCGCTCCCCGGGCAGAACACCTTGCCCGGCGGGAGATCTCCCCTTGCCTTCCACCGGCTACTATAGTATCTCAAGGCGCCTAAGCAGACAGTCACCTTATCTCGAGAATCACTTCACCATCAGAGCACTTGTTTCACCGTTTCCACTAATAGTTCATATGCGCAGACCCGTAATACACAAAATCGCACAACTTTTACATATCAAAATTAACTTCAAACCATCATTAAACAATAATACAAGAGCACCAATTCACCGCCGGTCAAGTTCCCGCCAAAACTCAAGGGTATCAGAAAATTCAAAATCAGATAGTACAATACATAGACATTGTATCTTATAGACTAAACATTCAGTGACGTCATCTGCGTGTGAAAGGAATGCACGTATATAGTTAGACATAAGAGTAAGGGAGAATTAAAACAATATTTCTTGTCTTTTTCTAGGTATACGTTTTTGATTGTTTTCCCTCCTTTAGGCCCGCTCTATACATACGGAATTCCGTTTCGAGATTCCGTTTCGGAATTTCGAACGGTCGGCCACACACAAACGGAATCCCGTTTTGCCCGCAAAATATCGAACGGAAAACTACCGTACGTGTGTGGCGGGTCATAGATTTTATATGGACTTGCTGCGTTCGGGATTCCGAATCGGAATATCGAAACGGAATCTCGAAACGGAATTCCGTATGTATGTGGCCGGCCTAATTTGACGATGTCAAGCGTTTGTGAATAACATTGATATTATAAGCAAACAGGTAACTTAATTCAGTGTTTTTGTGGGTTTTAGTTATTAAGTAAAGTCAAAAAGATGGCAAGTTGTAGCATTTTAGGATGCAACTGCATCAGTCATCGAAAAATTGATAATATTACCTTTCATCGGTAAGTTTGTTCTGTGCTTACATTTGCTACTTGTACTGATTAATATCTATTGTTTTGAATATAAAGTGTAACATTTCATCTTTTTAACGAACTTTGTGATGTATTTTGTCAAATATTTCGACTCACAAATTGCAAATTCTTCATGATAATGCTCCTTAATTTGAACGGTCATTCCAAAGCTTAAAGTCATAACAAACGTGTACTTTTTGATTTGGTAGGATTATGGAAACTTGAGGGATATCAGTGAGTACAATAATTTTTTCCCATTGTTCAATAATAATTCTATTGTGATTAGTAGTTATGTCCATAAATATGAATCACATAATGTTATGCATATGCATACACTTTTATGATCAACTTTAAAGGAAACTCTCCTTATTGTCCTACAACTCTTCAATTATTTTCTATATTACATAGATGTCATAAATAATATGTATTATCAACCTGAAAACATGTTTGGGTTCAATTACATAAATATTGGGCAAAGAATATTTAATTTCATAAAATATGTATTGCCTGAAATCAGATGCACAAAACTTTATTGTATTCCATTAATTCTATCAGACATTAGCAACAATTACATTTTATTAAAAAATAACTAAATATGTCATACTTATATAAATATAGATAAAATAATAAATAAATAAATAAGTCTTAATCTTAAGGTTTGTGTACCTTAAGATTAAAGATAAATACAACAACATAAGATAATATTCTAAATTAATGATGTAGAAAAAATTTGATGATAATATACTTACCGTTACCATTAGTTAGTCATTATCAAAAGTAAAAAGTTATACCTAGGTTTTGTGATTGTTGTCTATTTTGGCAGGAGGATTGGCAACTGCAGTTTTTTTGCAGACAAACTATGTGGGAGGTCTATGTTCATTTGTGGAGAACATTTGTTAGGCTGTAAATGTATTAATTAACAATATCTAAAGCTTAATATGTACATAATTTTTTTAAATGTTTGTTGTGAATAATATTATCATTACATTTACATATACCTGCTACTTAATTAAATCAATTGATATTGTATTAATTGTTATAGGTATTGTATTTATGCACAGATACTCGTACTTGAATTTTTTTATATATTTAATATTATATTATTATATTATATTTATATATTTAATATATTAATTTTTAAAAATATTATTTTACAGCTTTCCTTAAGAATCAGCTATCCGTAATTTCTGGATAATCGTTACTGGTCATGATTATAGATAACCAACAAAACTTAGCAGTGTATGCTTTTTAGCCTCATTGTTTTAGGCGGACAAAATATGCTTAATTTATGTAATTTATAATATAATTAAGATGAAATATTTAAAATGTTATAATTTCTTGTTGTGTCTTGTTGTTTCTCCATAAGTTTCACCTTGTTGGTAATTATAATTTTTGACATTGTTCTGTATGTATTAAAAATTGACTAGCATTGCTTAATTTATTTATGGTTCTAGACATTTTATTTTCAAATGCTAACATTCTGTATTATTATGACTTGTAATAATTTTATTGTAATTTATATTTATTTGACTTTCTTTGTGTAATTTGATTGTATGACAGATTGATTACACATGAATCCACATTTACAAATGTAGGCACTTTATCTGTACTACCATGTTTTATGCAAGTAAAGATTGAAATAAAATAAAATAATTTTAAGTCCTGACCTAAATATACAAATGAATAATTTATGCAATAATAATTATAAAACTGACTAGGCATGCCTACCAATGAGATATTTAATCCACCCTTAATCCTTTTTATTAAGGTTTTATAAACAATAATGTGGAAATAAATTAAGAAATAAATAATTTATTAATAATAATTTCCATTTAATTGACATAAATAATGTAATGAAGATGTTTTGGACAAGAGATATGTATTACCTATCTAAGTATAGTTTAGAAGTTGTACCTCATTATTTATACCACTCAAATATATTATATACAAGGCATATAATATATATATACTCCCTTCTAATCCGATTCTAACAACCAACAAGAATTTCTGCCATGCAAAAGTAGAAATCAAGTTTATAAATGCATATTTTTAAGAAATTCTAAAGCTACTCATACCAAGAATTACAACGAATGCTCTAGAAAGAAGACAAAAATTTTATTGATTTTCTTGTTTATTAATGTGATGAAAAATTAATAAATAATCGTTTGTTTATTTTAATTTTATTTAATTATTTTTAATATATAATTGTGTTTTCATTTGTTTTATTTAATGTAACATTGTTAATATTTCTAAATGTTGTGTAAGTTGTAAGTAACAAAATTTAGTTCTTTTTAGTTTTTAAATTTCAATATATTTTCACTTAAATAGAATATATATCT